CTTCCCTCCAAAAAAAAAGAAATAAAAATGTAAATGTGCTTGACATTGCATGAAAATATAGCGTCATCTCTTTAAGATAGAAGGGAAGTTCTATCATCAGCAGCATTTCAAATTAAACTTAAGGAGATACTTCAGAGAAATAATTTGAACTGACAAGTGAAGAGATGCAGCTCATCCATGCAATGGTGCAGAAGCCAAAAGAAAGCTAGTATATAAGACATAAAAAATGGTATCAGACTGAGTACAAAATCCTCATGTTTCACTTTTGCTTCATAGAGAACAGATGTTTGACGTAATACTCGTATAACCATTGGAACACTCCATCTTCTGATCAGTCACTCTGTACTTGTTAAATAGCTCTATCCTTTCTGCAACCTTTGAGTAAAACAAACACAAGAGACCACAGATGATTATGTGACCCTGAAGATATCTAGAAGCAAAGGAAAATTTGTAACAAGTCAAGACACCTAAATAGCAGCAAGATGAACAACTTTTAGAAGCACTCAAACTGATGAGTTTAGTTTTTCTTAAAAACTAGCCACTTATGTCAGTGCCTGCATGTGGCCCAACTTCTAAAAACGTGGTCCAGACTCCTGACTGTGTATGCTAATTTCCATTGAAATTCAGTCCTTGGTATGCATCTTCCCACACCACTGAAAACAGGTTTGTAGTACGAAAAAGTAATTGAGCCAAGTAACAAAGAAACTGCAGACTAAAAAAACTTGCCCAAATTTTTTTTCCAGGTAAGTTTGAGGTCTGAACCTGTGTATCATCTTCATACAAACAGCAAAAGAGAATCAATCAGGATTCCTCAGTCTTCAGAACTGAGATCCAGCTACAAAGCTTCCACTTGTCTGCTGACATGAGGTTCTCTTGATCTGTGACAGGTTTGGTCATAATGCTGAACACAACCACCAATAACCACGATGTCCTGTTTCATGCTCAGATGAAGAGGGAAAGACGTTTGAACACAGGCACTCAAAACTTTCTGGAGTGTTTTTCCAAAAGCAGATGTTTGCACGAAGTCTGTATTGCATCAGATTGCTGTACTGTTTTGACAGGACACAAAATGTCCACACAGTAACACTAGAGGGGCAGCTGTCATTATACATCCAGCATTATCTTTCAGTACAGTTATGGATACATACAACATTTGTATTACTGCCAATTAATCAGTCATTGTCACTATTTGATTATCAAACAAACAATCTGTGAAATCTGAACCATTTGCACTCCCAGTGGTGCAGATTCCTCTCAATTTTCAGATCAGGTTCCTTATTTCCTAACACTCAGAAAGTACTCAGGAATTCTTTTTCTCAGAAAAGAAACCACCAGATGAAATTTTTTACTGAATTTGTTCAATCTTCTGGAAACGTCTATCTCATACCAGGTATGCCCAAGATGACCAGTATTAGAATAATCACTTCAGTTTGTGTAAAACTTGTTACACAATATCTATGCTTACAGCTTTGAATGCTTATCTTCAAGACGGAGGGATTTAACTCCCTCATCTGCTGAGCCACATAGGAAAACACCATATTCCTATGAGGCTTACAGTAGTATTTATGATTCATAATCCTTGCACAGTAAAACAGTGGCTAGGCCATGTTCAGTTTTGTTCTCATTCATTTGAAATGGAATCACCATGCTGCATCACTCTTGAAGAACAAGACCATATGAAATAAACAGGCAGAAAAACCTACATAAGAAACTCGTGCTAGTGAAAAGGGATTTTATTCCTATGAGGGTGTATTTGGACTGAATCTTCTCATTAAGAGAGGAAAGCTAGATTTTTTTTTTTCAAATGGTATTTATGTCATTAAATGTGGATATAAGTGAACATGCAGAGTTGATAGATAGGCCTTTATCATAGGACAGGTTCAAGCACGCATCGTATTAGTTCCAGCTTCTCCAACACAACCCCATCCATCTATTCCTTTTGTGACATCTAACAATGTTAAGTTTTAGTTTCTCTTCTTATTGAGTCATTAGTCTCTCTTGTGCATACTGGAAATAAAGGCAACCACGTATGGCTAATTGTGGAGGATATCAGATGACAGAATCTGTATGCCCCAGTGGGGACTCAAAGGCAGAGGGAGAAATGGAGGCTTCAGGTTACAAACCCACCAGCGGGAATCAACAGGGCATTTCAAAATGAGAGATGACATTTTCACTGGCAAAGAAAAGAGTAGCTCTGCCACAGGAAAACAATCAGGTGTTAGCTGTTCTTCTATAAATACAGTGTGCATTTCATTTACAAAACAAAAATTTAGTTTTGACAACCAGGGCTAAGAAGTACTTCCTGTTGATCTCACAGCACACTACTAAAGCCATGACCCAATTTAAAATTCTCTAATGGAATAACGAAGACATGTTTATCATTACACCAACAAACAAACAAAAATTCCTTGGCTTTGTCTTCACTAAGACAACACTGTGTACCAAAGTCAGCTGGGAGTAACAAACTGAGCCTCGTGTCAGGTTCTTTGATCTCCCCTAACACTACTGCTTTTAGTATACAAAGCCTGAAAGATAAGTGATAGGGAGGATGGAAAAAGAAGAAAAGAAGGAACATTGTACTTGTCTGGCCTTCTACTGTCTGATGACCAGATGACAGAGGGTTTGCACCAAACTCTGTGGTTACAAGTAATGTACGGGAATGTCTGTAGGAAGAAGAGTTCCTTGAAAAAAACACAGTAATGGCTGCACACTCACTTATGTCAGTTAGCGGTGGTTTTGGACCAGTTCCTCATGACAAATATCATCAATGTTTCTTCATGACTGCAGGAACAGTCAACACTGAGCCAAACTGGGTTTGAACAGAGTTTGGAAGGCAAGATCTTTCTAGGCTAATAGCTATGCTAGATTCAGCTCCACATGTGTTAGCATGGTCCATTCTGAGTACTGTATCATAAAACCTTTCTCAAAGCACATCTAGCATGACTCCTTCAAATGGCACCTGAAATTAAGAGGCATGTCCAATTTCTATTAGACAGGTTGTACCGACAGCTAAAAATCACTGTTAAGAAATGAAGAAAGACAACTTAAAATTTTTTCTAGCACATAATGTACCCTTGGAGATCAAGTCTGAAAGATTTTAGAGTTGACAGAGTTAGCAATTTGAGCCTCTCCCAATGACTGGCTGCCAAACTCTTCCTTTAATTCCAAACTTAATAATATGTAGGAAAACTACATAGGTGAATTTAGTCAATACTTTCATTTTGTTGTTCTCCTTTCCACAGAAAATAGAGGCCTTTGAGGTTTTCAGATCCTCCACAACCTAAGCTCAAGGTATTTATGAAGTCTGTCAAATTTGCACAAAGCTCACCTTTTTGTAAGGAAATCGTCAACATGATAAAGTCTATTTCAATCAGAATACTTCAGCCACTGCATGCAGAGATACAGCCTAAAGTTGGTCCTGAAATGAAAGTAAACCATCCTCCCAACATACTGGAGAACTGAGGCATTAATTTAGGACCAGGCTGAATGACCACAAAAATCAGGATAATTAAATCCAGACCTCTATTTTCTCATTGCTAGCTAGCTCAATTTTTGTTTTTCCTTTTTTTCCCCACTTTCTTCCATATGCGTGGGCATGTGTATTTGGTTATTATAAGCACTTTATCAATACTGACATTGCTCTTCAAAATTCATTTCGGGGGGATGACTTTTACGGCTCCCATGATTCTCAAGCCGCCTACGGTATTTGGAACTCACAGAATCAGAAGCTAACACACAGACAGTGTAGCTTTTCATACACAGGCACAATAGGAATGAATGTATTAACCTCTGTGGTGCAGGGAATGTGTCAGCTTACACACTGGCAGCTATTTCTGTGAAACTCAGCTAACTTCCGCTGGCTGTGCTAAAAAAATAATTTAAAAATTCTTCCCTAGAACTATGTCTCATGCTCTCGTATGCTGGTCAAGCAACTGAAATATCTGATATTACAGAGAATGTACTTTATACTGATGCTGGCCAAACTGAGTTTGAGATTGCATTTTACACGTACTGTTTATAAATGCTGAGCTTTGCCAAGCAGGTATAAAGCTCTGCTGTTCCATGCGACTTGGCAAATAATAATGAGTAGAGAGATGAATTAGCAATGGAGAGTAGGGGATTTTTTTTTTGTTTGTTTCTACAAAAGAGTGTCAATCCAGATTTTGCAGAAGTAGAAATGATTTGGATCTTGATTGCATTTTAGTCCCAGGTTTTACCCAGCTTCACCCTACTAGCAAACCATAAATGGCAGGTAACAGAATTCAGACTGTGGAGCTGGACATCACAGCTGCTAAATTTCCATGACTTGACAAGGGTTGTGGGGCTGATCAGGAATACCTGAGGAACATTAAGACCCGCGGACACCTCCGAATTTCAGAATGTTATTGGGAGTTTTGAATCAGATGCATGTGGCTACCAGGCCAACTCTTCGACATAGAAAAAAAAAATTCTTTAGTAGCTTTCTACCTGCTATTAGTTGACTATGTAAAATTGTTATGATCGCTAATTATCTGCACTATAGTGGTGCCTAAAATGTGCCTGGTACCATAAAGCACTGTAGGAAGGGCCAGTCACTGCTCTGAAGAGCTTACAGTCTAAAAGGACATAATCATGTTAAGCGACTTTTAAGCAGTTTAAAAGTGCTTGTCAGGACAGGGCTGTTCTGACCAACAATGTTTCCTTTTGCTGGTTTACACCTAGCCAGCCTTGGAAGCCTGCATCACAGACACCTAATGGAAAAGACAAGCAAACACACTGCAGGAAAGCACAAACCTGAAAGTAGTTAAATTGACAATAAAGATACTAAAACATAACAAAAAGCCCCCTTAAGGTGAAAGGAAAAACGTGTCTGATTTGACGATTATTTTGCTTCAAATGCAAATTTCACACGATGAGAACAGAGCGAAACCCCCGTTAATTGCATTGTGTTCAAATGGGAGAGAAAACTGTTTTTCATATTTACTTAACCTCTGCCTCTTCTGCATTGTTTTGGGACTTACCTGCAGTTGGAGTGGGCCTAAGCCCGGTGTTGCTGCGGCAGCAGCTGCCATGGTAGTTGGGATCAGCTGAACGGGGTAAGGGTCACCTAAGTAAGAGAATAATAGAGGCGTCAGCACCTTTTATCTACTCTCCACCTGCAAATTAAAGTC